CTTTATTTCTACAGTTAGGCCTACCGTTCACACTAGTCCATCACGAAAACGGAACTTTTCGAAAACGCCGTTCAAACCTGAGGAAATTGAAAACACCGGTTTGGCGTTTTAGTGTGAACGGAAAACATTTTGAAAGCGGAGCTTTTCGAAAACGATGACGTCACGATAATCATGTGATTTCTCCGTCCCAGTTTTCCTCGAGGTCAAATCCGAAATGAGCGGTGATTGTTGGGTTTTTAAGTTCCTCCGGTGTAGTGTGGACGGAAAACATTTGATGCGTTTTGGGAGTGAAAACACCGTTTTAAGTTTGAACGGTAACATGTATAACCTAAAGGTTAGTTAAACCATTATGTTACCAATTAGAAACAGTTCCTGGACAGATTCTTACCAACTTTATTGTTTCATCTTTTAGCACCTGAAGTCATCAGCTACGAGGCCATCAGTTTGTCCAGTGACATGTGGTAAGTCGTACAGTTTATCTGAGGCTCTTTCCACCGATACGAAAGTCGCTCAGTATATAAGATAGCTCTTTTATCAGAGACGGTTGTCAGTGCTAGCCATAGACTTCTGTTGCCTTTCGCGCAAAGGTCTCACGCCGGTATTAGAGTCTGTCTCTTGTTCATTTGCAGCTACTCTTTGCTTCTTCGTGCAGCGGTAGTGTAGTAGCTCTCGTAAGCTTGTAATTCTATTTGTCGTCATTGCAGCAGCTGTTATTGTTTTGGGACTAATGGGGCATTGTTGCTGTTGTTTGTTCTATTGCCCTCTCTTCGGTTTCAATTCATTCATGTGAGACCTTACGAGAGCTGCAACATGATCTTCGTGCAATGGTCCTTCCAAGTAATGAAAGTGTCACGTGCCAACCCAACATAAGAGTTGCAAAGAAGCCATCTTGAAATGGCATCGATACTTTTGTTGTTGAAAAGAAGGCTGTTAATAGTTTCTTAGTTAGTATAGAGCCGGCTGATGTACGTCGACTTAATTTCCTCTCCCCACTGGACGTGACAACCAAGCGTGATAGCTGCAAAGAAGCCACCCTGAAATGACATATATAGCTTTGTTGTGGAAAAGAACGCTACTGATAGGTTGTTAGTTAGGGTAGAACCCGACGTATGCGGACTAAATTTCTTCTCCCCACCGGGGGAGGGTTTATAGCAATGTAAGCGAAATTTGTAACCGAAATTTGTTTTTATTTTCACAGGAGTGTTGGTGTCATAGCTTATGTGTTGTAAGTATGACTTCTTTCCATCATACTCCGGTTCAGTTCTGTTTGTATTTTCTTCCAGTTGAAGCGGGCATGAGTTAACACTTGAAATGTTTGGTACATTCTTTTAGTAACCATGGAATCAGTTTCTTCATATTAACAGAAGTATTTGTCGTTTTTACACCGAACTAATGCTATAGTCACCGAAAAAAAAATGTAAAGGAAAGTGTAAAGTGTTCATGACTGGAGTGTCCTTACTGTAATTGATCAGACATAAACTTGGTGATAGTTTGATAGTTTTTCTTGTTGCTTTGTTGTGTAGACTCAGTGGTTTATC